TAAAGGTTTGCAACGCTTGTCACGATTCTCGCGTCTCGCGTTACAGTGTGAGAATTTGTCTTGTTGTGCAGAATAATTTCATGACCACGTAATTTTTCATCAAATATTATTTATATGTGGTTAGCCATCATAATATGCATAAATTACTGTGATGTACAATAAATGTGTATGAATTTGAATTTTGTGATCGATTCTCATCCAATCAGCACCCTTGTGACATGAAATTATGAAGTTCATGTTATCGTAAGTTTTCACTTAAGTAAGTTTAGTTTAAGTTGGTTTCTGGCAACGCTATTAAAATTAACCTTAACATTAACATTAGACTTAAAATTAATCGTAACTTTACGAAGTTTCTGACAACGGGCCCAGCTGGCCCCAAAACATATCACACGGGTTTTGATTTTTTTTTATTATTATGCAAAGTAGGTAGATTTTGCCAATTTCACTATGAACTTTAGTGTCTGCCTACAGTCAACGATAACTCAAGAACCGTTTTACCCACATGTTTCAAATTGCATACAGTTGTTACTCCTATGGGAGGGATTTGAACGACCTATTTTGGAGCACGCCAGTCGACCTACTTTCGAGCCACGCTCACTTTTTGGCAAAACTGAAAATGGCCATCTAGATTCATTCGATTTTGTTAAATTTACCTACCTACCTACCTACCTACCTAATCATACCTACGTGTAATATTGTGTTTTTGATTCTTCGTTACAATAATTTGACTGGAATATTTTATTGCTTATATTTGAGCGATAATCGAAAACCGAAATGGCGATCATTTAGGCGTAGTGCCATCTCTCGCCCAGATTTCAGACTTTCAGATCTGAAACTTTTATTTTCGCATCGAAACTAACCCTGAAACAAAGCAGTGAAATTTCTATTAGTATAAAACAGGGAATAAGGACATTTGATCACATTTTGGTCCGTCATAAATAAAACACTTACCAAATTTTAAATATCATCTCTCTCTTCTATCACACCCAACGTGAGCTATAGTGTCATTGACACTTTCATTTACGTACCTGTTTCTTTAGATGCTTCGATTCGTAACATGGTAAGAAGGCATTCTAATCTACCTATAGTGTAATCTCCTCTCATCTCTCCATCTTTTTAGGCCGCAAAGACTGAGAGTGTATCTGCGAAGACGCCTTTAAATCGGCGACGCGGCAGAATGGATCATTGTGTGTCCGTGCGCGCGTGCATGCGCTCATGTGCGCGCTCATGTGTCTGTGTGTAGTATGGGTGCATGCACGCATATATAGGTTATGTACGCTTTCATGCACATGCTAAAACAGAACAACTTCCCGATTACGAAAATAGTACGCTGTAAAATTCACCGACGCCTTTCACTTCCGCGTCAGGGCCCCATTGTCAGAAACAAAATTAGTCTTAACATTAGTCTTAACATTTACTTTTTCTCTTAGACCGTCAACAGAAACGCTGCGAAGTTACCTGAATGAAAAATTGTAGCAGATTTCCTGACAACAATACGAAACAAAGCGCTGTCGACGGTCTACGAGAAAATGTTATTGTTAAGACTAATGTTAAGACTAATTTTGTTTCTGACAACGGGCTCCAGGTTGTTATCGCATTAATGCCACGATTCTCCAACGAAACGATCGATATCAAGTTAACAGTAGTAGGCGCGAGAACGCTAACGACACGCGTCATTATATAGACTCGCGTGCGCGTGCGGAGTGAGAGAAGCAAGCAAGCGGCGTGAATCGGTAATGGTCGCCTGCGATCTTAAACGTTGGCGTTAAAAAAATCTATAACCACGTAAAATAATCACGCTGTGTTTACTATTGCGCGCGCGTGTCGCCCCTCGCAGCGTGTTGTGCTGCCGTAAGAAGTTGGTTTGATGTCGGCGCGCGACAGTGATTGAGCACGTCGCTCTCTCTTAATTAGCAGCACGTCGGCACAGCAGCTGCTAGTGGCTTCGCGCGCGCACTCTCTCGCATTCCCCCTCTCTCGCTTTCTGCCTCTCTCTCTCTCTCTCTCTCTCTCATCCCCTCTCTCTCATCTCTCTCTTACTTTCTTTCCCTTTCTTTCTCTTTTTTTTTCTCTCTCTCTCTCTCTCTCTCTGTCTTATTCCCCCCTCTCTCTCTCTTTCTCTTCCTTTCTCTCTCACGCATATTCTCTCTTTTTTTCGCGTTCTCTCTTTCTCTTTCTCTTTCTCTCTCTCTCTCTCCTTCTCCTATTCCCTCTCTCTCTCTCTCTCCTATTCCCTCTCTCTCTCTCTCTTTCTGTCCTTCTCTCTCTCATTCTCTCTCTCATCTCACACACACGACACACACACACACACACACACACATCTCCCCCGTCTGTCTCTCTCCTTCTTCCTCTCTCTCTCTCTCTCTCTCTCTCTCTCTCTCTCTCTCTCTCTCTCTCTCTCTCTCTCTCTCTCTCGCTCTCTATAGCGGGCTTTGTGTGGAGCATTTAGCTATACAGAGTGCTCGCTTTTGACGCGCCCGAATAAAGTGGTGAGTGCCGTCTATAGAGCTCCGTTTCATTAGACACGGATTGTGTCTTCTTCTGTGTTCATCAGCCACCTATGTACTCTCTGTTCGCGAAATCGTATAGGGCATGTATGCGCTATAAGCAAAACCTCGCGAGTGTGTAGTGATAGGAGTGGACGCATGTGTAAATGCAAGGTTCCTCCGCGCGAGGAACTATTGTATTCACAGGCCTCTTTGAAATCGTCAACGCTCTGGCTCTCAGATTTCAATTCAACGGCTGTGTGGATGTGCTCTATGCGTATGTTCGTTTGTGCATACCTACGTGTCTACTGACGCCCGCGCACGCGTGCGTGCGCGTGCATGTGTATGTGCGCGTGTGTGTATTCATACGTGTGCATGCGCCTGTGTGTGTGTGTGTGTGTGTGTAACAATCATGTCTCGTTAGGTGACATCTGTATTAATTGCGTCGCGCACATATCGATTCGTGCGCGCTTCAAGTAAAGCATAGCGTCGCGTATCGTAGACCGGCAAGTGCGCGAGCCCTCCAGCCTCTCTGTCGCGCGCACAGCAACACGCGCGTTAGGTGGATAGCGGGAGTGTGCCCGTAGCACGGATGCACCGCGCAGACGTCACATGAGCGGGAGAAGACTTATTAGTATTCCGACCTGCGGACTCGCATAGCGGTTGATCTGTTAATTATCGCATTGACGCCGAAGGAAGGATGCTGGAACATCAATGCCCTCGCCCTACAGACACATAGACACACACGCACGTACGCAGCTGTAGCGTCGAGCCGTCTAGCGTCGAGGGTATAGCTCCGTCTGCCGGTGGGAAGCAGCAGCGGCAGCGCCGTGGTCTGACTACGTCCAGGGCAATGCCCGAGCCCAGCGTGCCTAGCCGCGGACTGTAGGGCAACTGTTTGCAGATGCACGCCGAGTGTCCGGGTAATTTCGCCATCGAGCAGTTCTCTCCTGAAACAGCGGCACATGCAGGCGTGCGCATGCAGCAGAGCCTCACACGAAACCTCATTCTCCGCGTCTACATAGCAGCAGCAGCAGCAGTGTGCGCGCACATACAGGCGTGCGTCTGCGTGCTCGCTCTGCGCCTGTGTGTGAGCGTTTGCGCGCCTTCTCGCGCTCCTGCAGCGAGCCGTTCTGTGGGCGTGTGTGTGTGTGTGTGTGTGTGTGTGTGTGACGTGCGCGCCGCGGGTAGCTCGAGCGCTGCTGCTCGTTGCTGTGCAGGTATAGCGTGTGCGCGCGCGCCGCCCAGGTACGAGCGTTTACTCCGCGTGCACGTGCGGGGAATGCGTTCAACAGCCGACCGGCGCGGAAGCCACTACGGGCTAGTCGCACTCGCGTCGCGGCCGTGGAAGGAAGAGGAGTGTGCGTACTGCGCTCGCGACATTCTCTGGGGAGCATAACGAGAGGTAGCTCGAACATCGCGTAGAGCCTGCCTGGGTCGCCATCCGGACCGTGCCCTCGCGCGTGTGCGTGTGTGTGCGTGTGTCTTATTGACGGCAATATTTTGCGAGCGAGAGAGCAGCGAGGTGAATGTGAATCACGTATACGCAGCCAAGCACAAACAACGCGCCCGTGTGTTTACATGCGAGACAGCAGCAGCAGCAGCAGCACAGCAGAAACAACAATAGCTACTGCGGTGGCCGCAGCAGCAGCAGCGGTAACAACAGTAGCGAGAGTAGTAGTAGGAATAGTAGTAAAAACAGCAACAGCATCCGTTACGTTAACTAGATGAAGAATAGAATGAAGATAGCAGCTTTACGAGCTGCTCAGAGTTGAGCTGAAAGAAGGAAACCAACTACTAATCGCTGCCCTCCAGCGACGTTACAACACGGCTAGAGAGGCTCGTTGGAATTCATTCCTACGTTCGTTTGCGAGCAGACGCCCTCATTTGCACATTCCGCCACCACTCGAGCGATTTGCAGCATGGCGACATAATCTAATCGATCACTCAATCACTGAATCGTCGCTGAAGCCCGGAATGGATATAATGAAGTGACACTTGCACGCAGGAAACATCGATCACGCATCGATAACTCCTCGCATAAGAACACACAACGGCGCTCTCGTACGGATTTTAAAAGAAAAAAATTTTCCGTCTCGTACACATAACTATATTATAGATTCTTAATATATATAGCTTATACTAACGTATACAAAATAATAAATTGATAATTATATATATATATATTATATATAACGCGCACGTGTTGTCACCTGAAGGCGCACCGGCCAGACATTTGCCAGATTGTACTTCTACCGTCCTCTCGCGAAACACGACCCCGTGGCCGATGCAGACGACCAAGGTAAACACGGACAGCAGCAGCAGAGCACGGCTACTCACTACCGCTCTACGTTCACGCTGGCGTCTACCTTGTAAAGCGGCAGCGAACCCCCGATACGGCCGCCACGGCGTTCTTCAAGATCGCTTACGGACCCAGAAACCGCTTCGAGACAGCAAGAGTACAGACCGGTCAAGAATTACCAGGACCTAGCTCGCAGTTTCCTAACAATACCCCGAAATCGTCGCTGCACGCTGAGACCGGCCGCAAACACTGCGAGTACGCGTATTATCTATCTGACATGTTTATCTAATTCTAAACCGCATTGTATTATCTATCCTATCTATCTATCTATCTTACTTTTATCTGAGTTACTCTAAATTATTTATCCATATCTAATGCTATCTATCTTATCCTATCTATCTATCTACTCTACTCTATCTATCTACTCATATCTATCTATCTATATATATCGATCTTCTAATCTACCCTCTACTTTATCTATCTATCTATCTATCTATTTATCTATTTATCTAATCTACTCGTGTCTATACGTATCTAAATACTAATCTATCTATCGTATTCTATTTTCTATCTATCTATTCATATTTATCTATCTACTTCTGTCTCTTAACAATTAATCCATCTATCTATCTATCTATCTATATAATCTAAATATTATATAATACTAATCTTTCATTACTTTAATTCAAAGTTATCAAATAATGTCACAATTACAGGAAGCGCGGGTTTTTTTTTTTTTTTCTTTTTAGCCGAGAAACAATTGGTATCATCACAGCAACCGCGCCAACACGATGCTAACAAGACAGATTTCAATCGTTTTTTCCTTTTTTAATACGCGAGTGTACAGAGCATTCAATTGTATATGTCTAGCCAAACACTTAGACACTAATGCCTGTTACGCATAGAGCAAAGTACCCGTAAGGATACTGTAGTGCGTCAGAGCGGAAAAAATAAGGAGAACGACCTCGGGAGGATGATTAATGATAAGCCATGGCTTTAATGATATATTGTTCTAATTTAATAGCTGCCCCGCCCGATTATCGGGCATAATCACGTTGAAGTTCTTTTGGATTGTCGTCTCACATGTGTTTCTCTAATATATCGACTACCACAGTAGGTTTATATGTTCCCAACTGATGGCCTTAGCATAGACTTTTAAAAATTGCAACACAGCACGGGTCACGATTCTCGGCGTTAACTCACAGTATTTACCTTACGTGTTGACCCAAACGATACTCCACCGCCTGCGGCCAACGAAATGCGGACGCGGATTAGAGTCTCTAACTAAAACCGAAAGCCACAAGAGGAGACTCGACTCCCTCCCCACCGTTTGTTCATGACAATGAATACATAATCAAAAACCAAACGTCAGACACGACCGAACGCTGCTCCGACCGACACCCACCGGCTATGACTCTCATTTTAGACACGCGCGCCACGCGCGAAGTACGCCCTCATACTGCGACCATCACTCTTACTAAACCACACCGAAACCAAGCAACCAGACACAGCAAAAAAACCACACCCATCCAATTCTGATCAAAGCAACGATATCCACTGACAGTAAACCTAAGCTCAACAGCAGACGAAGTTAAACTCCCATTTGGCAACGCTGCGGCCCACAAGCTATGCAGCGTCAACACCCACAAATCCTTATTCTTCTGTGTTGAAAGTTATACGATGAACAAATCATGACTATAAACCAACGACTTCAACACACCTGAACCATGATCAACCCCAATACAGAGAACCCCCTCGTTAGTCTCACACATAATATCATGATACCGTATGCTATATATACATACATAGATATAATATATAATAACTAGTAATTATCCCAGTATATATTATATATATTTATATATATATATATATATATATATACTCATGTATGTGGCCCTATTGGCGAATACACCCAAAGCTTATGGTGTCGGAGAATAAAGACTAAAACAAGATCTCATTACCAGTTACTGAAATTCTGCGAACAGACGACCCTGACAAAAATAAAAAGACAAAACGTACCTCCATCTTCAATCGATTATCCCACAGCCAGAATATTATAATGAAGAACCGACGCACGATGCCAATTCATGAACCGTCTTGAAAAAAAGAAGGCCATCAAGACTATCTAGTCTGTCTTCTCAGCGTCATGAGGAAAATGTCCAATGGAAGAAAATCTCCAGTCGTTGTTTCTCATTTAAGCTGGCGAACTCAATGCGTTAATTTCGTAATTGTCCGATTTCGGAAAGTAAGTTCGTTACTTGATGTATTTCTTCTTCGACAAACGGTTAAATAAATTTCCTCCTATAGCATCCGTGCTGAACTAAACTAGCGGGGGTATGGCGTATAAGGAAATTACAACGAACGTTCGTCTGGCGAAAACAAAATATGCACAATACAATCCAGCGAAAGAAAAAAAAAAGTGCCTAAACGCGCTGCTTACGCTCCCGTGCTAGCGTAAAAACACGGGTGTTGAGAAAAGGCTGCTAAATTACGGGGTTCTAGCAGGCAGCAGCCGCACACGAGCGTGAATAAAAAAACACGCTTAAAGGTCCGCAGTTTAGAGGACAGGACATGATTGAAATGTCACAGGACCTATTCAGGACAGACTAATAAGCGCGCGACGTCACAGTAATATGTCCCCACAAGAGACAACTATAGAATAAAACGCAACTCTTCGGAGACTCGTAATCGAAATGTCGGGTTACTTCATAGACACCGTTAAAAAGCTCACAGGTTCTAGGAAGTCACACGCTTGAAGTCACAATTTGATGGACGCGATAGCTATAAGATCAGAGATTGTGCACGCACACATACACATCACACACACACACACACACACACACACACGCACACACATGTCACCACACACCACAACACACACACACAACAACACACACACACACACACACACACACACACACACCACACACACACAACACCAACGCAACACACACACCACACAAACAAACAGTAGGAAAAGTTATACATTGCTTAGCACGCTGACAGAAATTAGTATAGTGACTACGTTTATGATGTGTGAGCACATTCTTATATATATAGTGGATCGTGATTCAATAACGGTAAAAGGTATATTTAAGGTATTAAGTAAGATTAAGGTAGGTAATATATAAGTGATAAGGTGATATGTTAGAGTGAGTACAGCACCAACTGACCCGTGTGCTGCAGGATAAAAGCGCGGTTGCACTGAGGTAGGGATCGCATTGCATCGGGCGATATGTGAATGTCCGTGGTATACTGCACCTGTTCTGCTCTGCGTCTCGACTTCACCTCTCCACGTTGAGACGCCTGGCGCCTCGGCTCGTCGCATCGCGCAATTATTAGCTGTATCGGCGCGGCTGCTGAGAGCCGCAATTACAGCCGATATGAAATTCGTTGGCAGGATAGTAACAGCGCGGCATCCTAGAGCAGACGTTACTGTGCTGATGCGGACGCTGAGCGTGAGACCGCAAAAGTAGCGTAGCCGTTGTTAGCGAATAATGATAGCGTTAATGAAACAGCGTATACTGCAAAATCTAAGTTTCAAACGTTAACGCGAAAACGAAAGAGCATTAGTTGGCGCGCGCATAGCTACGCTTGGAGAACAGTTGCATTTAGTAAAACCAGGCATCTCGGAGAGTACAGGACATCCGCAAGGCAGCCTGGAATTCTACTCAATGTGAAAGTGTTATTAATTAATTAATTAATTAATTAAATAATTAATTGGATCCGGATTAGGGCGAGCGTGCAGGTGGGGGAGGACTGTGGTTGCCCCTTAGCCTGTGGTTGCGTGTTTGTAAGTCTACAGCCAGCGCACCTAGCGGAAGTGAACTGAAACGTGCATGGTAACACACAAACCCACAAACACACAAACCAACACTCAAAGACACGCCGGTGAAAACATAACCTCCGCCAAGCCCCTGGCGGAGGTAAATATGAGAACAGACCACTATTAAATCCTTCATAGGATCCTATACTTAAGAATTGAATTTCAGGAACTGAAAAATAGTATTTCGACCGTTTTCGGCCGAGTGGCAATATTAAAGCTAGGTAGCCATGTACTTCAGCTGTGCACCATGAGAGTTATGACATATGTTGTCCAGCGTTTTAAAAAAATATCGCGAATTTACTAACCGACACCACATTTGTGCCTGAAAAACAGTCGTGCAGTCGAATGGGGGTCATATATTGAAAGAATTCGTTTTAAATTACCAGTAACCATCCACCCATCTCCATGTGCATGTCATTGCCACACACGATAGCCAGCCTAAATTATGCAACCACAAAACGTCGCGTCAGCTTTAGTGCACGAGCTGCGGGCCCTCCGATTGGTCGGCCGATGACGCGTTACATCCTCTAACCTAACAGGGTAATGAACCGGTAGTGATTTAATAGTGGTCACGTGTCATATCACGCAGTGTGTTCGTAATAAGACGGCAATATTTTAACTTCAATTTTACCGCAGTTATGACGAACGAATAAATATACACGAGAGACTATTGTTTTTTTGGTATTAATTGCATAATTAACGTAGATAACGAACGCATAATTTAAACAAGTAGTTTCATCACAGATTTGCGTCTACCAGTTATATCAAATTTATATATGCTAACATAGCACAGTGCATACTAGGTGGCGATGCGGCGTGTACTGGTCACTGAGTGTCCGAGGCAGAAGCGACGCACATGGGAAATAGCCTAAACTCAACCGCCACGTTGCGAAACAATGGAAGTAATGCTGTGAAAACTGTGAAAGTATGCATGAAGTATTTCCACTCTATTATAAAAGCTCACCTCAGGCGGGTGCATGCCAGCTACGGGGGTACGATGTAGATCCGATATTTCACGTGGAAACGATTCGATGAAATCATGAAACTTTAAACGTCCTCAAACGTCCTATACCGTCCCCAGAAACGCCTTTTTTTGTCGTCAATATTCAAGCACTACACGAACAGATGCTATCTCACACCTCACTCAATGCAGAGGTAACGAGCTGAAGGGAGAAAAGATTTAATCTCTCAGTACCCTGAAAGGGGAATTGCCGATACCTAATTGCTAAGTGCGTGCAGCTCTACTAGAGAGGATGAATGCGATACATTGTATTACATTGTATTACAGACTATATAGTGATATTTTATGAATGGCTGCCGATGCATGTTGATGATTGTGCTGCATTTTAGAAGAAGATGATAATATCGTGTTTTAACAGCTCGTGTACGCTACTATGGCCGTAGTAATTGAAGCAGCCATTTATCT